AATGAAGGGGGAGGGGAACGGGAGCTTTATTTGACCACACACACATGCTGCCAGTGCTTGCTGGAGCCATGTCTGCCCATAGACAGCAACTTCAGTCTTAAGGCACGAGCCAATGGGGGACTGAGGGATGCAGTGGGGGGAGTGGCAGGAAAGGGCATCCAAGGCCTCTTTTTCCTGTTTGTTTTTTTTGGGGGGGTTGCTCATTTCTGCAGCACTCCAGATGATGACAAACAGTCTGTGTGTGCAAAGTCCCATGTGGCCTTCCCAGTACAGAGCCAGGGCCATTCCCTCCATGAGTCCACAGAACAAGCAGCTCCCGAAAGTTCACTGCAGCAGAGTTCTCCCCAAGAGGACCCTGAGCCCTGATGTGGCCAGACTGTAGGCCAACACAGTCTTAACTCTGCGAGTCATCAGCATCCAAGAACTTGGAAACAGCCGAGGTCATTGGGGGATGGGTGTGCTCTTTATACTCCCCAACCACAGTGGGGTGCAGGCCAAGCTCTGGTTTGGAGTGGGCGCCCTGGAAATGGTAGCCTTCCTCACCCAGCCTTCCTGTGCACAACAGTGCACCTTTCCTGCTCTCAAGGTGGCAGCTTCTTCCGCCACTCCCTTTCCTTCTGGCAGGTGGTTCTGCCAGAGGCCCCAGGCATCTCTCACCAGGTCCAGGATGCAGGCCACCTTCCTGGCCCCTCATGCAGCAGCTTAGAATGACCAAAGCCAGCAGACATGAAGCAGCACTGGGTGGATGTCCCCTCTCACAGGGTTGCCCTTGCCTGAGCCTGTCTGCCTATGTGAAAGGAAGACAGGTGGAAGGATCCATGGAAGAGCTCTGTGGCTTTATTCACGGGGGTGACAACAAATGAGTCTTTCCATGGGAACGGGCCTACATGGGGGAGAGGCAGGGATGAAGGATAAAGAGAAAGGAATGGCCCACTATCCCTCCACCCCATGGAACAATCTGGTCCCTACCAAGAGACAAGGCATCCTAGCTGACTCCCCTCTGCTCCAAAACCACGGGGAAAAGAGCTCAGGTTCCAGGCACCTCCACGTCACTGACACGGCCACCAACAACCTCACAAGGCACTCTGAGAATAAGAAGTTCTAGAGCTCAGCAATGCACCAAAATTTTTCAAAAAGAAAAAGAAAAAAGATTTGTTTTCATAATTTTTAGACCGAAATGGATTGGTTCATCATGTGTGGTCCAGCTGGGAAAACGATCCTCACATATGGTCTCAGGAGAGAGTGTTCCTTGGTACACTCTGATAACACTGGGTGGTTTGAAACTGATGCCTCTGGTGCCCCAGATGATGGCTCCAACTGCCAACCCCTCTGGTGGCCTGTGGTCCCTGTCACGTGGGAGAACCTGGCCTTGCTGCCTCACACATGCAAGGGGGGAAGGGCCTCCTCCCTGCTGTGAGGGTCCCACCAGGGCCTGGTATTCTCTTTCTCCTTGTAAGTGGCACACAGACGTGCTGGGGCCAGCACAGCATCCTCTGGGTCTGGAACTCACCATTACAAACTATCACAGAACCTCAGGGTCTGCATTGTCCAGTTCAATCCCTGCTGGGGGCAGGGGGCCATCCCGTCATCCCTCTCTCCCAATTTCCCTGCATCAGTTCGCCTTCAGAGAAGAGTGTAGGCAAAGTCAAATGCACAGAGAAATACGGACCATTCAGAGGCGGTAGGGGCTAGAGGGGGTTAGGAGGGAGACACAGATCATTCAGAGTTAAAAGTCACCTTAAAAATGAACATTTTCCTGGGCATAGGAAGCCTTTACAGGAGGCAACGTAGAGTTAGCCCTAGGGTAAGAATCCCAGCTCTTGCTGCTTTCAAGCTGTGCTAACTACCTTAAATACTTCTCTGAGCCTCAGTTTCATCATCTGTTAAGTAGGATAATTCCCACTTATCCTATAGTTATTGTAAGGATGATGCAATTATTTTGAAGAGTTTTTAGTGATAATGGGGAAATGCTCATGATGACAGGCTAATCAAGCCCCCGACCCCCACCAGAAGGCAAACACACTGTGCCCTCATCTACGTAAACGATGAGATGAGAAGGGAGAAAAAGGGAAGTAGAAGTCGAACATGAAAGTGACCTCTTCCCCTAAATGGCAGCATAAGGCAACATGTCTGAATCACTTCATTAATAAAATAACAACCCAAACATGTAAGTCTGTAAAAAATGAGAGTCACCCTTTCCCTCCAAATGTAAACATGTAGGCCAATAAACAAACACTGAGTGCAGCCTCTAACAGAATGAAAGAAGGTGAGGCAGGGCCACCTCCCCAGGCTCAGGAGAAGGGTGCAGGGGGGGCCGGCTCCCCAGGCTCAGAAGGGTGCAGGGGGGCTGGCTCCCTGGGTGGTGGAAATCCAGGAAACACTCTAAAAAGGGAACTCCTACCTCCACATGCAAGCCTGGCTGAGGTCAGGCTGTACTCCTGGCATATTCCCAGATGGCCCCTGAGGAACTCACAAAGACACATAAGAGGCCAAACATGCCCAAGTTGCCGACAAAGCTACCAGTTTCACAGAGACTGAAGGCATGCACTTGCTGGGAACAGAGGCCTGTGGGTGCACACTGGGGCCAGCAGTCTGTGGGCCTCAAACAGGCTGAGCTCATCCCTGCCTGGAGACACTGGCCCCTTTGGAGGTCAGGCCACAGTGAGTGTTGTCTTCCCAAACAGCTCTACTAAAGCAGCGAGTCGCTCCCCGTCACTCTCCCACCAGCAGTGACTTGTTCACTTGCCTACTGTTCGTCTTTCCACGATGGAAGCACCATGAGTGCAGGGCCCTTGTCTGCCACATGCAAGGCCATGTGCCCAGTACTTAGCGAGCACCTGGTTTATGGTAGGTGCTCAAGGGTCTGTGGAATAAATGAAAAACTTTGGCTGCTGGAGCTAGATACAGATGGTTTCACATCCCTGTTCCACCACTCACTGGTTGTATGAACGTGGGTAAGTTACTTCACCTTTCTGAAGCTGCCAACTCATTTGTAAAAGGGGATAATCCTCTCTCACAGGGTTGTTCCGAAGACTGAATGAGACAGAGAGGTCTATGGGGCATTTCACACAGTCACTTATTAGTAACAGTTATCAGCGCTACTGCTATTTCATTATCAATATTATTACTTCGATACAAAACTGATTCCAACTGGGCATTCATGTGAAATTGCTGGACTGGCTTCTTACCAAATGGCTAGGTAAAAGACAGTAAAAAACAACTATAAATATATCACAATAGAGCAATGAGCCAACTTTTTAGCATTGTTGGGGAAGCAATTATTCTATAATAGGGCAAAGTTCTAGCTGTAAGAACCTTTAAACACTGAAACATTTTAACTGTGAAAATCAACAATTTGTGGAAATTTCAGGCAAATGTGGATTCAAACCCTAGCTTTTTGCCTCCGTGTCCTGTGGTCTTGTGTGAGTAATTTAGCCTATTAGAACCTGTTTCTTCAAGTGTTTAAAAAAAAGGAACAAAACCATCTTCTCCAGAGGTTCTTATAAGGATTAATTAAAGCTAATGTATGTAAAATATTGGCATATAATAGATACTGAAGATAAAGCCATATTATACGGTGATGCTACTGAAATGTTCAGGGCTATTTTTCATGGCTTCCTTAGAACTATGCTTTAGTACAAGTATTTCACTCATCTGCTTAAGCGTTGTGGGTTTTTTTTGTCTGTGTGTCAGAACGAGAAGTGTCACTTCTCCTAAACCAGCCTTTTTTTTTTGGCAGCTGGCTGGTACAGGGATCCAAACCCTTGACCTTGGTGTTATAACACTGCGCTCCAACCAACTGAGCAAACCAGCCAGCCCCCAAACCAGCATCTAAAAGAAATTCTTTATTAAATGTGTTACAGCAAAGTGCTATGAACTAGAAAACCACTCCAACTGTCTGCAAAGGGGAGACCTGCACCTCTTAGGCTTAAGTTCAAAAGCACCAGCTTTCTGCCAATTGTTCAGATGCTTTGCTTCTTATTTCTATTTTCTTGCCTATATCTTAGACCACGGGTGGGCAAACTATACACTGAAATCACCTCCACTATACACTGAAATCCCATCCACCTCAAGGCTCAAGAGGTGAATTTTACATTTTTAAAGGGTTATATGAAAAAAAAAAAAAAGAAAGAAACAATGAATAACCTTTTGTTGTCTGCAAAGCCTAAAATGTTACTATCTGGACCTTTACAGAAAAGAGTCTGCCGACTCCTAAATCACTGAATTAGTACTGCATATTTTACAGTTTTGTTATAATTTCAGTATAGAACTTAATTTAAAATGAGATTCTATTGATTATAAAAATTACTTCAGAGGATAACCTTCTCTGGAGCTTTTTCTTGTAAGACTGATCTATCAAGTGACCGTTCTTCTTGGTGGTATGGTGGTGGGAGCAGAAAAAAATCTAAACAGACCTAGGAAATACACTTTCTTAAGGCAGAGGCTGTGGCCCCAAACAACTCAGGATTCAGCAAAATGTTGGATGGACGGAAGCTGCCAAGGTCCACTGTGTAAGGACCTGGACTCGTCCCTGTCCTGGAGGCAGGCACCCCTGAGCTCCAGGTCAGAACTGAGTGTGTGATGCAGTAAAAACAGAGGGGCCTTTGGAGGGAGGTGGACCTCAGTTTCACTCCTGGCTCTGCCTCTTGTCTTGGGCAGACAGCTTACTCCTTCTGAGCCTTCATTTCTTCATCTGAGAAATGGGGACTAACACAATTGTTGTGTTGGTGAAGCTTTGAGACAATGTGTATGAAGTATCCAGCACCATGTCTTACACAATGCAGGTGCTGCATAGCAGCATTCTGTGACCAACTCACCCCATAACTGACCCAGCTATCAAACTAGTGCCCCACACCCTGCTATGGGTGGTTCAGAATTTTAGTTAGTTAAATAAACTGATAATAGATTCAAGGGAGACTCCTTGGCCTAGTCACATTCTCATTTAGGATTTACCTATCGAGATCACAAGAACTAAAGTATACAGACGGTAAGGAACTCACAAGTCTCGATACTGGTCAAAGGCATTGTTGGCTTCCACCTCCAGCTTTCTCAGCCGAGCAGATGGCATGGCCCCATCTTCCAAAGGAGGGTCATACTTGTTACTCCATGGTGACCTGAGGGAAGGAAGGAGAAGTAGGTAACACAAATCATTTCACGGTGATGTGGCCTGTGAGCAATGAGCCCGAGCTGTCTGAAATTTCAGAGGCAAAACCACTAGCTACAGCAAAGATCTTCCTAGGCCCTGGCAACAAACAGGGCTTTCTGGAGGTCTGCAGAGGAAGGGCTCAGATGCAGGTAGACTAGGGTATGTGCCCCGGGCTCCAGCTCTCTCCAGCAGCGCACTTTTGGCAAGTGTCTTAACTCCCTGAGCCTCCCTATTTGCTACCCACAGGGCTGTTGCGGGGAGCAAAGGAGAAAAGTACATCAAGTGCCCAGACCAGAGGCTGACAGACAGCAAGTGTTCAAGAAATGTTAGTTCTTTCTTCCCCATTTTCTAAGTTTCCTCTGTGTTTACTATCGTATTGATCAATGGATGCCCCTCTCTCCTCCCTGACTTGCTGGTGGCTCTAGATAAACTTTTACTCCAAAGAACTTCTGACACAGTAAGTAGTAAGAGAGCTGTGACTTACAGAGGCAGGCAATAGACAGCTCCACAGGCAAGAGACACAGAAGATTACACTAGAAAACCTGAGCGATCAAGTTCTCCATGTGAACAAAAGATACCTTTTCCAACATCCAAGGGCTAGGCACACATACAGACTGCTAAGTAATGAGAACCAGCCTCACTTTTTGCTGCCCAAAGACTTGCTGCACTTCTTAAACTGTGTTTTGCCACATCAGGAAGACATTTAATGACAGAGAACTGGAAAGGGGTTATAAGGAAAATCTCTATTCATTAATTCCTGCAGGTGAGGTTCAGAGGGCTGAGTGTTCAAAGAAGTAAAATTTAAAGGTGAGAGAAAAATGAAAAAGAGAAGGAGAAGACAATATGGAATTCAGAAAAAGTCCTCTACACTCTTGGTGTAAACACCTTGATGTTTCCACTGGCGGAAACCCACAAAGCCTTTCCCCTGCTGACAACAAACTTTCCCATGACTGAAGGCTCAAAAGAACCTTTCATTTGGGGATTGATGATATGAAAAAAAAGGTATTATCACCATACCCTGAACCCCATCCAGTTTTAACGAACTCTGTGCGCAGACGTCTTTCTTCTCAGAAACCAACACCCCACCAGGCAATTAAGTCATGTCAAGTATGGATCCAGAGTGAGCTACATGACCTCTTCCTCCAGCTGCCCTCAGAGGTCCTCGCTTTCTCGAAAGCTGGTCCACAAAGGGTAAGTAGGGGAACAGATGCTGTGTTTGGTGTACCAATAGGGTCTCCAGGGAGCAGTTACTACTGACCACCCCAAAGCAGAAGAAACCTTTGAAACCCTTCTTTCCAAACCGGCCATTTCCCCCACTCACCACAGTGCTGGTAGAAACTCTTCAAGAATAGAGTGAGACACTCCCTGCAGCCAGCTCTTGTGGTCACACTGGGCCATGCACACACCATGGGAAAGAAACTCTGAACACACTGGGACCCCAAGTGGCCTGGAACACAGGTGTGGTTGCCAACACCGGGAGCCCTCCTGTTCTCCCCAGAGGCCTGTCCCTTCCTGAGCATGTGGGGACTGCCCTGCCAGTTCTCGGACCTAGTCCTGGTCATCCCTCTGAAGCAACCTGCCCGATAGAACTTTCTGCAGTGATGGAAAGCAGCGTGTGGCTACTGAATACCTGAAACGTGGTGAGTACAACTTGGAGACTAAATTTTCCATTTTATTTAATTTGAATTAATTCAAATTTAGATAGCCAACTCTACAACCTCACCTCCAAGAGGGCAAGAGCCTTTTCTGTCTTGTTCTCTACTGGTTGCTCAGCACCTGGAACAGTGCCTGCACTCAACCATGTACTCATTTAAAAAATTGTAGTTCAAAGAATGAATAAATTCTTGCATTCTGTCCCCCCCAAAGCAGAAGTAACCACTCCCTCCTCCTGCCCCTCACTGCCATACAAACGTCAGTCCTTACACCTGTAATATTCTCACCCTTCCCTTCCCCTAGACAGCACGAGGCCTTTGAGAGAAGAGAACCTGTGCTGTTCCCTCCTACCCCCTAGTGCCCAGCACAGAGTAAGTGTTCAGTGGATGCTGTTGATGGACTGAGACCATACAGCTTGGGATGAGGAGAGAAGGCCCCAGAGGAATTCTGCTGGTAGTCCTCCAAACCAACAGACATGGAGCAAGTTGGTTTTTTTCTGCTGAGGGACACCTAAGCATTAAAAAAAAACAAAACCAAAAAGCCCAAACAGTATATGCGTGTATTGAAACAACACACTGTACCAAACTGCGTACAAGTAAATGTTTAAAAAACCCAAAACAACAACAACAACAAAAAAATCCAAAACCACAATGAAGGGTTCTCACCAGACCTCAGAGATAAAGGCACAATTGAAGGGTGCTGTCGCTACCACCGTTCATCTGTAAAGAAGGTCTGGCTCCTCCACTCGCCAAGGGGAGTGGACAAGAGCCTGAGAGTGTGGACGTGTGTTCCCTTTGGCACATGCATAAGCTGACGTTTTCCACATTTAAGACCATTGCCTTCCTGCAGGCCTTGCAGACCCAACCCAACCAGCCTTCATTTAAAGGCAACCTGATTAGACACAAGAGCCCATCTCAGACTGGGGGCCTGGAATTTTCAAGAAGCCTGTAACTCACATTTCTCCTGGCTCACAGACAACAACATTTCAAGCTGTTAGTCCTGGAGCCGGGGTAATTGTAGCTGGGGGAAAAATCATAACATTACCCAGCATATTCTTAGTGGAAGGGGCACTCAGAACACATTTAAGAGCTTAAATGGAGGCCATTTGAAAAAAGACAGATGGACAGAAACGCTTAGATTTCAAAAGTCAGGCCTTTCATTTCCCTCCGAGAAGGCTTTTTGTCTCAGCTAACAGGTTTCAAACAGTGCTGCTGGCAACGGTCACGCCATAAGGATCTTATTTAAGCAAACGATCAAGCACAGTTAGGATGGAAATGTGTGGAGAAAATCAGAAGACCTTGAAGTTTCATTTCGAGGAGGGAAGAAAGGAAAGGTAGGAGCTCTGCCCTGACACCCCAGGCTCCCCTCTGAAGGCCTGAGAAGCCCCAGAGCCCTCTGTGGTGCCGGGAATGCAGGCAGGGCTGGCAGGGCTGGCAGGGCAGCCTGGAGGGGCTGGAGGCACCACGTCCTTGAGGGCCTTGCCTGCGCATGGACGTGGACGCTGATCCACCCTTCCACTGGCTCCCCAGAACAGCTGCCATACACAGCAAGCTGGAGTTTTCAGGGAGAAAGAAGAAACAGTGTACAATAATGACGTAAAGTAAGAGCGGCTGAAGGACCACTTTTTCCAGGAAGTCTTCCCTGAACCCCACACCTGGAGAGGACGCTTCCCCATGGCGATGTGCTCCCTGGCCTGTCAGACCACTCACCACCTTCACTGCACTTCTCTCTCCAAGGCTCCCAAAGGAGGCCTGTGCCTGGACACCACACCTACAACCGCGTGCAGAATGGGCCCTTCAGGGTTGAATTTGACCTACATCAAGGCTGTTTCAAACCTCTACACTGGGACACTCGTGGTCCTGTCTCCAGACCAGACCTCTCTCCTGGAACTCCAGGCCGTACATCCGCAGCCTACCTGACATCTCCACTTCGATCCAATAGGCATCTCAAGCTTAAAGTGTCCCCAGACCAACTCCTCCCAGTCTTCCTCACCTCAATCAACAGCAGCTCCTACCCTCCAGCTGCTCAGACCCAAGGGTGCTGTGACCACCCTTTGCACCCCTCCTCTTCCACACCCCCTGCCTACAGATGCTGCGGGCTGTCCCTTTAAAACTCACATCAACTCTCACACCTTCCCCCATTTCTCCTCTAGTCACTGGCCTCGATTAGGCTAAAAGATATTCTCTACCTAACTTCCATTTGAAGCTAGGAATGAGACAGTGTTATAAAATAGTTATTTAGTCTCTTAAAAAGTCAGTTCTAGGGCCAGCCCGTGGCTCACTTGGGAGAGTGTGGTGCTGATAACACCAAGGCCATGGGTTCAGATCCCTATATAGGGATGGCCAGTTAGCTCACTTGGGAGAGCGTGGTGCTGACAACACCAAGTCAAGGGTTAAGATCCCCTTACCGGTCATCTTTTTTTTTTGACCGGTAAGGGGATCGCAACCCTTGGCTTGGTGTCGCCTGTACCGCGCTCAGCCAGTGAGCGCACCGGCCATCCCTATATAGGATCCGAACCCGCGGCGGGAGCGCCACTGCGTTCCCAGCACCGCACTCTCCCAAGTGCGCCACGGGGCCGGCCCACCGGTCATCTTTAAAAAGAAAAAAAAAAAGTCAGTTCCGGGATCAGTGCTGGTTTGGAGCCTATGTTGGCTGACTCCTAATTTTTCCTGCTTCTATTTTTCAGACACCTCATCTCCTCACTCCAAAGACAGCATTAGTCTGAAGCTTCAAAATGCCTGGGTTCTGTGGCCTCCAAATGAGCCTAAAGCTGACTATGTTCCTCCACCATTCTCCAAGGCAGCAACTACAGCAATCCATCATGGAAATACTGGACTGGTTTGGGGTTTGCACTCTTTTTTAAAATGCACCCTGAAAAACCTAGCTCAGACATCACCTCCTTCAGGAAGTCCTCCTGGAGTTGACATGACCTCTTCTGTGCTACCCCCATACCCTGAGCAGGCTTTGCACTGGCTGCATGAATGTCTTCTATTCGAGACCAGTTAAGCAGTCACCTAGGGCAAGGACTAATGTCAACTTAGTTATTTACAGCCCTCAGCACAGTGATGGAAAGAAAGGTGAGCTACATATGTGACAGTGCTGCATTCAAGCATCCCTTAACCACAGAGACCCTCCCTACCCTCAGGTTCCCCATTACATGCACACCCTGTACCCTGCCCTTTGCAGGACTTAATGTGACTATAATGGGACAGTTGTTTTTGGTAACAATATCCCTATCCCTTTATTTTATTTATTTATTTTTGGTGACCGGTAAGGGGATCGCAACCCTTGGCTTGGTATCGCCCGCACCGCGCTCAGCCAGTGAGTGCACCGGCCATCCCTATATAGGATCCGAACCTGTGGCGGGAGCGCTGCTGCCTCCCAGCGCTGCACTCTCCCGAGTGCGCCACGGGGTCGGCCCCTATCCCTTTAGACTATAAGATCCATGAGGGCGGGGGCCTTCTGTTCCCTGCTGCATCTCCAATGCTTACAGAAGCATCCCACAAACATCTGCTGGGTGCTTGGATGAACGGATGGGAGGAGGACAGGAAAGGGGAAGAAAAGGCAGGAAAGAAGAGGAGGGCAGAAGAGGTAACGGGCTGCCAGCTTGTCAAAATCCAGTGGTCCGCAGCAGGCAGTATGGCTGGCCCAGGCAGTATGGCTGGCCCAGGCACGGCTGGCATGCCAGCCTCATTCCTGGGGCATGAGCTCACCTATAGGAGTCCCCGTCTCTGTTGTAGTCACACAAAAGGTAATCCTTTCCCACCACTTTGTCTCTGGCAATTTTCAGTGGCTGGTCAACAGAAGACAGGAGATCTTCACATAGACTGGGGACCTGGCCAAAAAAAAAAGGGAAAAGGTAGAAACAGTGGTTAAAATAACACACCGAATTCAGGTTGACTAATGATAACTGTAGCTGTACTATGGTCAGTATATTTAACATCTGGCCCTTGGTATCCCGCCAACATTATGGGCCTGTTCTTTTCTTTTTCACATGTGTCTGACACCAACTGTGTCCCTCTATAAAGAAACCTGTTCTTAAATTACAGTGGAGCGTGATTTCCAACACAGTCTTCCTTCCAAAAACCGTGTGCAGCTTTAATTACCTGGTTGCCAGGGTGGTCTCATAAATTTAAGTATGTATATGCTTGGTATTGGTCTCTGGTGGGCAAAGTACATGCTGAAGTCCTGAGAAGAAGGTAAACATTTCAAATACACAGGAATCCAAAGAACTCGGAGAAGAATAACCCGTCCATGCTGGAAAATTCCCACAGGTTCCCACGCTGGGTGGAGTTTCAAATACGTTCCAGGCCCCTGGCCAAGCATTACTAGGTCAGCTCGTGGAGGCAACCCTACCTGTTGCAAAGGGAGCTTCACACGGGCTTTCTACCACGTACAGGCCCTGGTGGCCCACCGGGGGGCTGCCTCACCTGGAAGGATGGCCCTGTGGTCAGGGCAGGCAGGACTGACTCTCAGGGCAAATGCTGCACATTTTGACACATGGTCCTGCTAGTAACCGGGCTACTGGCTGCCTCCTCCCAACTCAAACATTAATTTCCACCAAAATATTCCAGAAAGCAACAGCATCACTTTCAGAAATGGATTCCTTCAGGCTTGAGTCACTTCCATACTATATTTTCAATGTGCTGACTTATTTGTTTCATGGGCCTGGTTTCTGGGGGCCCCACCATATCATTTACCAGGCCAGTGGCTGCCAACTGCACCAATAACCCTTCCCAATGGAAAAGTTAAACCATGTGGCAAAGACAACCAGCAGAACCGCTCAGCAGAGGGCTGACAGCTATAGTGGTTCCTGTGATCCTCCAGGAGGCCCTCACCAGAATTGAAAGACAAGATCAGGGAACGCCACCACCAGAGACCACCCTCCCTCCCTGGGCTTCTCAGGACCCCTCTGCTGACCCCCAGGAAGCTCTGGAACTCGGCTTGTAAAGCGCTGTCGGGCACAACTAAAGGATGGTAACCCCGTCCTCTGACTCACATAAATTCTAGCTTCAGTGAGATGATTGGTTTCTTGCACATGGAGCAGCACCCTAAGAGATGCACACACCAACCCTTGGGTACAACATGTTTGTTTTTTGAATGTCTCTCCATGCAACAGCTGCCTGTGTACCTGCCCTCCCCCAAACAAATAGGGGTGGTTTTCAAAGTTAGTTTTGGTGATAACATCAACCCCCCTATCATTTCCAAGTGCCTGCCACATACCACTACGCTATGCCCTTACATAAAGCATACTGTTTACATGAAAGCTCATAATCTATACCCTGTGAAGTAGGTATATACTGTACCCATTTTACAGATTAGAGAATGGAGGCCCAGAGTCATTAAGTTGTCTGAGGGCCACACAAGAAGTGAGCAGTGGAGACAGAAATCAAAACCAGGGCTAGAGGCCGGCCCGTGGCTCACTCGGTAGAGTGCGGTGCTGATAACACCAAGGCCACGGGTTCGGATCCTATATAGGGATGGCCGGTTTGCTCACTGGCTGAGCGTGGTGCTGACAACACCAAGCCAAGGGTTGAGATCCCCTTACCGGTTATTTTTAAAAAAAAAAAAAAAAAAAAAAAAAAACCAGGGCTAGATGACTCCAGAGACCCTGCTCCTCCCACTCTGGACCTCTGGTTTAACATATAGATAAGGGAAGGACAATGCATGCCAAAGGCACACTCTGGTGGCAACTAACTCCCTCCTGTCCCCACCCTGCTCAGCTTTGGCCACAGAGCCCTTCACCTGCTATGAAGTTGTGGCGGGGAAAGGAGGGCCTCATAGTTCCCACCTAAGGCAGCTGGGATCTCGAGGTGGTCTTGCTATGTGGTCGCAGGTCCAGTGGAATGACACTGGACACCCAGGTATGTGCCCATCACACCACAGCCTGTTTCTAAGCATCTCCATTTATACTGCTGGGCTGCTGCCCGGGCTTACCTGTTGGGCCCCCACTTTTGCCCTGGAACCCCACTCCATCTGGCTGGAGTCCTGACACTATCAGCCTAATTTATCCTGGATTACAGAAGGGACTAAGCAAATAGGTTCTGAAGTTAGACTTCTGGCCTCACTACTTACAAGTGGCCTTATAGCCTCGGGGAAGTCACTTTACTTGGTTTCCTCACCTGTAAAGTGGAAATAGTAAAAGCACTCCATTCGGGTACTGATCCCCACGTGATTTTGAGGATCACATGAGATAGTGCATTCAGTATTCAGGATAGCGCCCAGCACAGGGAAAAGCATGCGTGTTTGTAAGTACCTGACATGCTCATATTCCAGCTCTCCTCCTTCAGACTAATTGCCATCTCTAGTCTATTATTCTCCGATGGCCTCACCAGCCGAGATCGCACCTGAATTCACTATGCTGCTTTGGGCACTGGACACAAATGGGTCCTTGAGAACCCAGTTCTTCTTAACCCCAGTTCTGCCTGGAGCCAGCTGTTTCCCCTTTCCCACCAGTCCAGCTGCCTGCAGCTAGGTCCCCCAACACAGGACAGCTTATGAGATGGTGGGGTCTGGTCTAAAAGAGGCTTGGCTTCACTCCTACCCAAGAGGCTAATCCACAGATCAAAAGCATTTCAATAGTTTCTTCCTAGCACGTTCACTAACTGGAACTATTTGTTCACGGATTTGTCATCTGTTCCCCTCACTAGAATGTAAACTTTACCATGTAAAGAATGTAAACTTTCAGTCTTGCTACTGCTATATGCCCAATGCTTATGGCAGTGCCTGACACACAACAAATGCTTAATATGTCTGGGAGGGAGGAAGGAGAGGAGGGGACGAGTTTTATAACACAGAGCCTCCCCAACTCCAATCCACTTCATTTTTAAATTTATAAACTAGTATGCAATAAGAATCTTTACCAAAAGAGTTTGTTGTCAAGAACTAAATTCTGATGGATGCCAACGACCAATTTCGCTTGTGGTTCCAACCAGGCATCCTACCATGAGGTGGTGAGAAAGCACCAACTAAAGAGAACTGGAGCCTTAATTAAAGCCCTGGCATTTTTATTAATAAATGATCATGAGGAGCCATAGCAACGGTGGCAAGACTGAGAATTAAGAGACCTGGATTCTAGCCTCTGCTCTAAACTAGCCATGTAAGCTGGGGGCAAAGCCCCAGGCTGTTCATTTGTCAGAAACAGTAGGTGAGCTACATCAGATAAAGACCACCCTAGGGCCGGCCCGGTGGCGCACTGGATAGTGCGCCGCTTGGGAAGTTCGGCGGCGCTCCCGCCGAGGGTTCGGATCCCACATACAGACTGGTTCCCTCTCACTGGCTGAGCAAGGCGCGAGAGCAACACTGAGGGTTGCGATCCCATTGCCGGTCCCAGTCCGGTACGGGGGCGACACTGAGGGTTGCGATCCGTTGCCGGACACGGAAAAAGACAAAAAGGAAAAAAAAAAAAAAAAAGAAAAACATATATTTAAACTGAAACTCAAAAAATTGTGGCAGTGCACAGAAAAAACAGGGAACTCATACAAGGTGTATGACTTGCCCTGCTGTGAAAGGCATCTGGGATTTGCTATGGCTGACTGATTCTCCACCCAAGCAGGTACGATTCTGGCCTTCTATTAAGCTCTCGAGTTGGGCCATGTTTTTGTGTTATATTTCCATCAGCTCTGTTTCTTTTGATCAAAGATAATCTGTCCTTGAATAATAATGCTATAGTTATCATCATGGGGAACAAGAAGCGCTGTGGAATACGTGATGTGCCTACAGTCTTGTACCAGAGCAGCTGCCAAAGGAGCGTCAGTCATGATCTGGCACCGCCTGCCAGTCCTATCTTACACCTGTGCCACTCCTCCACCTCTGCCCGAACACTCTTAAACAACCCCGCCGTTCTACTCAGTGCTTGCTGAACACGCAGGTTAGCGCTGCATTCTTCCAGTTAAAAACCTTCCCCTTTACGCTGTCCGCGTGCAGTGGTGTTTACAACTGATTGATCACAACCAGTTACAGATCGCGGTGTTCCTTCTCTACTCCCACTGCTTCACTTGACTCGCCTTAAAAAAAAAAAAAACTTCCCCATTTAGGATTGCTGAATACATTATGAGGGTACTTCCAAAAGTTCATGGAAAGGTAAGTACTACCTTTTAATTCTATTTTTCCCACAAACTTTTTGAAGTAGCCTCAAACAGGATAGCCAGTTAAATTTGAATTTCATTATTATTATCATTATTTTCTTTTGGTGGCTGGCTTGTATGGGGAACCAAACCCATGATCTTGGGGTTACAAGGCTGTGTTCTAACCAAGTGAGCTAACTGGCCAGCCCCGAAATTTGAATCTCAGATCTACAATGAATAATATTTTAGTATTCAGTATGTCCAAAAATACAGGGGACATGTATTTTTATTTGCTACATCTGGCAATCTATCCCCATTCCCTTCTGAAATCTTACCCATCCTTCAAAACCCTGTATAAACTCTAACTTCTTTATCAAGATGTCAAATTCTTTGGAATTCTTGCAGTAACACTGATATTAACTGAATCCCAAATGCTTTTGAGATGGCTGTTCTAATACTGCCATTAGCTCTCATTTTACTTTGTCCTTGGTAGCATTTTCCATCATGTGTTGGCTCCGGGCTTACAGAGGCCAAGACAGGCCCTCCAGACCCAGCACAGCATCACACCCGCTGCGGTGGGCACTTAGTCTATGCCAGCTGAAATCCATGCTCTGAGATCATATTATGGAACCAGAATAAAGACAGTTTATCTCTGTAATCTAACTAGTCAATTAGTTAGCAACTCTTTCCCTACACTTGTCTGAACCCCTGCCCCAACCCCCTAGTCCTGTCAAGTGCTTAGGACAGTGGAAGAGATCCCATCAAGTCT